TTTTTTTTGAGACAGGTCTCTCCCTGTCGCCTAGGCTCACTGTTGCCTCCAACTCCTGGGCTCAAGCTGTCCTCCCGCCTCAGCCTCCTAAAGTGCCGGCATTACAGGCGTGAGCCACCGCTCCAGGCCTGTCTCATCTGACACACACGCAGTCTCCCTTGGTATCACACCCCATGTGAGCCCTTCCCTGCTGGGCAGACAGCACAGCCCTGGTCAGCAGCTGCTCCTCACCTCCTCTGCCACCGGGGCCTGCCCGCCGCCTCAGACTGCGGTCCAGGAGCTGGTGTGTCCGTGCGGGGCTGGCTCCCGCCATCAGCCGGGCCGTGGCTTCATGTAGGAACACCTGGGCGAGGGGGGGCCAGCAGAGTGCAGACTCAGGCTCTTCCCTCTCCACCACTACCTGACTCCTCCCCATCTTGAGGAGAGGGGACCAGTGGGCACTCACCCTCCGCATGGTGGGCCGGAAGCTCTGTGCCAGCCGCCTCAGGCTGCTCAGGTCCCGTTGGAAGCCACGGAGCTCAAGCGCGGAAGCCTGGGGCCCGCCGCTGGCACCCTGGCCTGCTGGGGCCGGGGCCGGGGGCTGCTGCTGGTGCCACAGGCTGGTACGCACCACAAGGAGCAGGTCACACAGGAACAGCTGCACGGCCTGAGGGTGGCAGGCAGGGCAGGGGTCACCAGGGCTCCAGCTCTGGGGGGGCAGGATGGGGGCCCACGGTGCCAGGGGCCGGCTCCGGGCTGCACTGCCGAGGCACTGCACCCGCCTCACACACGTGCAATGCAACAGCAATGCACCGCGGGGCCGCCCGCCTCTCTCGGCCCCCACACCCGCCACTGGCCCTGAGCAGCTGTCCAGGCCTCTTGTTGCAGGGCCTCCAAAGGGATCCTGCCACATCATCCACCCCCCTCCTTCCAGGGGTGGGGAAACCGAGACCAGATAGGGGCAACCCCTCTCCCCTGGACAGAAGCCTTAGCCAGAAAACAAGGTCTGCTGGATCCCCATCTTGCACTTCGAGGGCTAATCCCATGGTCTTCCGGGGCCCCTGAGGGCTGGGGAGAAGGACCAGGGAATGGAAGGCTGAGCCCCCCAGCCCTGCCAGGCCCCTGGCCCCACCCCTCACCTTGTCAAGGGAGCTGCCGGCTGTTGTGGTAGCCAGGCTGTCCTGAAGGTACCCACTGGCCTTCTCACAGATGGTCAGGCTGGCTGGGCCAGACTCTGCCTTGGCACAGCCCAGGAGGGCCCGGGCAGCCTTGAATGAGTGCAGAGCCGCCCTGGGCAGGGGTCTCCTGTTGGGACCAGGGCAGAAGGGTGCCAGTCAGACCAGGCCACTAGCCCTGGCTGAGTGCCCCCCACTGCCCTGGCTCTGGCTTCCCGGGAAAAAAGGTGGTGACCCGTCCTGCACAGAACAAAGGCAAGGGTGGAGGCACAGTGCCCCGGGGATGGGAAGGCTGGGCCAGGGGCCAGGCAGGAGGACTCTGCCCTGCACTCACTCAGACTCCTGCAGCACCCGAGGCAGGTGCTCCACCAGCGGGCACAGCTGCTCGGCTGCCTCCTCGTCCCGCCGCAGCCAGTGGATCACCACGGCTGTCAGAGAGGCCCACCATTTGGCCACCGGGTCTACGCCTGCAGAAGACGGAGAGTCCCCTGAGCCCTCAGCCATGCTGCACCGGGGCTGAGAAGGGAGCGGGGCAGGGGCTGGGTGCTTACCGGTGGTGGTGGCCATGCTGGAACTGATGGAGAAGCTGCAGGTGGGCGCCCCAGCGGCATCGGAACAGCTGTTCAACAGCTGCAGGTACCCGAGGGCATCCGAGAATTCCCTGTGGCAGGAGAGGGCTGGCTGTCCGGACAGATGGCAGGGGTCCTAGGAGGGTGCTGGCCCTCCCCACCTGCCCACCAGAGTCTAGCCTGACCCCTGGCTCTGCAAAGTGCCACCGTCTCCTCCCACAGGCTGGCGGGGAGAGGAAACCCAGAGAGGAAGAAGGGCGTACAGCACGCACAGTAGTCCAGGCTCTGGCCCTCTCCACGGGCTGAGGACAGAGCCGTTCCCAGATTCCTGCTGGAGGGGTCTTGCCTGGAGGAGGGCACAACGACACTTACTTGTCCCCATCAGCTGACCCAGGACTGGGGTTGGGCTGGGCCACACAGTTCAGTGCTCGCTCCAAGAGATGTTCCCGGAATAGCTGAGTCACCTGGGCCAGGGGGTCCACTATGGAGAGGAGGGGCTGAGTGGGGTGGGGAGCAGGGCCCCACCCTCCTCTCCAAGCCAAGGGCATTTTCCTGGGTGGGCTGGGGCCACACCCAGGGCCATGGGAAGTGCCAGTGCGGCCCTGGGTGCAGCCCCTGCCAAGGACGGGAGAACGGATGGATATAAATACCCCAGCACCAGCCTTGGCCAGAACAACACTGAGACCTGCCCTGCGCTGCTCCCAAAGGAAAACCGACTTGAGAAGGTGCCACTATTGGCTCCGCTCTTCCCTGTCGCACTTCCTCACTCCACAGTGGCACTCCCTGGGGTCACTTCCCAAATCGGCCACCTGCCCTTAAATTCCCGTGTGTGCTTCTGAAAGCCGCAGTGGAAACAAAGACTCATCTAGGCCTTCCCCTTCCTGCAGCCCCCACAGCAACAACCCACGGCGGTGACAAGGACTCGGGTGGCCAGAGACTGCCAGAGATTCAGGAGGTGAGGGGCAGGACAGGACAGGAGACAGGGAGGGGGTGAGAGAGCACCTGGGTTCCTGGCCAAGCTGTACAGGCTCTCCCGTGGGGTGCTGAGCACGGCCCAGTCCCCGTCCACGAAGAAACGATGGCCCACTGGGTGGCAGAGCCACTGCATGGCAAGAGGCACTGAGCCACTCTGTGCCAGGCAGACCTGACGGGCGCTGCTCAGGAAGAAACGCTGTAGGGGAGGGAAATGGGCTGTCACAGTGGACACAGGCTGGGGCCAGACCCCAGGGGCCACAGCTTGGCCCAGAGCCCCTCTGGTAACCACTGCCACATCCAGTGCAGCTCTTACCAAGGAGCCTCTGGAGAGAGCTTCAGGGATAGGCTCCACCCACCCGCCAACACTCACTGTCAGAAAATGCAAGGCCCGCGGAAGACTGGTCTTCACTCTCAATGCAGCTGCCACATAGATCTCGGCCAGCGTCGCCACAGACAAGGCATCCCCTGCACACTCTGCCAGGTTCAGGGCACTCAGCGCCAGGTTGGTGGCGGTGAGGTGCCCGCCTGTGTACTTCCCTGGAAGGCAGGCAGGCCATGAGGCTGCGGTGGAGACCAGGCAGCAGGGAGCACCGCAGGGCCCGCCCCGCGCTCGGCCTTACCCATGGT